TTCTGGATGAAATCAGTCTCTCAAGGGACATCAACCTCACAATTTGGGAAACAATGCTCTAGATATGAAACAAAAAGGAACACAATGGAAAATCAGCAGCCATTTGTTTTTCTACTTGGGAGAGTTAGGCTGTACAACATCCTTTTCATTACCAAGCCAAGTTACTATTCAGAATTGTAAATTAACTCTTTGCAATACAAATGACTTCAGCTTCAGATAACAAAATAAGGAAAAAAAACTTAAGTCCCTTGTTTCAAGCAATCTCTGAAACAAAACCAAAGAACCAGAATATCCCAGTCAGTGGTCTGTGATAAATTTGGCCTAAGAAAAATTTATGCGGAAAGTAAATTACATATAGCTCAGGTAACATATTAACAAGAATGCATAATAATGTTTACTTAGTACATGCTCTGTGTTTATAATCCTTAAGAACATTTTTTTTTTTTTAATTTTTTTTTCAACGTTTATTTATTTTTGGGACAGAAAGAGACAGAGCATGAACGGGGAAGGGGCAGAGAGAGAGGGAGACACAGAATCGGAAACAGGCTCCAGGCTCCGAGCCATCAGCCCAGAGCCTGACGCGGGGCTCGAACTCACGGACCGCGAGATCGTGACCTGGCTGAAGTCGGACGCTTAACCGACTGCGCCACCCAGGCGCCCCAAGAACACTTTCAAATACCTTAAACCAGGTTCAGCAAACTACAGGCTGTGGGCCAAAACCAGTCCACTGCCTGTTTTTGTAAATAGTTTCACTGAAGCACATCCACATTCATTTGTTTACATATTGTTTATGGCTGCTTTTTTTTTCCTGCAATTGCAGAGTTGAATAGCTGTGACAGAGTCTGTATGGTTTGCAAAGCCAAAAATATTTATTATTTTACAAGTTTGCACTCCTTGCTCTAAACCAATGGGTCTCAAATTTTAACATGCATAAGAAACACAGTTTCCTGGGCTCCCTCTTCACAGATCATGGTTCACTGGGTGAGATGGGGTCCATGAACTGCATTTCTAACAAGCTCACAAGCTGCTGGTCTATGAAGTGAACTTTGAGAACCACTGCTCTAAACCCATCTCATATAATCACAGATGAGCACTGATAGCAGATACTACGAATTCTATAAAACAGGACAGCCCTCAAACAAAATGAAAACTAAGAGAAGATAGATCATTTGACATAAGGAATTCTTGGCGGCTAAGAAGACACAACTGGTTGCCATAATCAGCTGATAATTCTTCAGCCCCTCATCCTAACATTAATTCATATGGAACACAGGAAATTCAACAGGGACCAGCAATAATCGAAGACAGTTGTGTTGGAGGTATAAAACCCAATCTGTTCTTTAAAGAAGCTGTAGGGGCGCCTGGGTGGCGCAGTCGGTTAAGCGTCCGACTTCAGCCAGGTCACGATCTCGCGGTCCGTGAGTTCGAGCCCCGCGTCGGGCTCTGGGCTGATGGCTCAGAGCCTGGAGCCTGTTTCTGATTCTGTGTCTCCCTCTCTCTCTGCCCCTCCCCCGTTCATGCTCTGTCTCTCTCTGTCCCAAAAAAATAAGTAAAACGTTAAAAAAAAATTTTAATAAAAAATAAAGAAGCTGTAAAATGCCTTTTTTTTAGTAAAAGCTGAGCTATATGCAGTTATAATTTAGTATTTGACTGAATTGTAATACAGTGTTTTTGTTTTGTTTACAGTACAATGTTTGAAAAAAATCTGTTACATATGATTTATAATACAGTGGGCCAATCAAAAGATGAGTTCTTGCACTCCATACAAATAAATATAAATGGTTAAAAATGAAATTCTTTAAATAAATCCTAAGAAACATGTGTCATGCTAAAATGGGAAATATTAGAGGAAACAGAGGATGTCAACTGATACATTTTATCAGAACTAAGCTCAGGTAGAACCAAAGTGGGTGATATGAAACCACCTAAAAATATCAGAATTTCTTTCACCTGGACACTGCAGACGACAGAGGTGGAAGGTAAAAATTTGTAGGTAAAATTCTCTTTGTTGATTTTTTAGAGCAGGAAACACCACCTTTTTACTTACTCAGCTTTTACTGTGTATCTATCATGCTCTGAGGCACTGTACCAGGCATTAGGGGAAAAAATGAATAAATACCATCCCTACTCTCAACACTTGCAATCTAGTGAGAACCACACATATAACTACAATACAGCGTAGTTAAGTATTTAAGAACCATTGTATATTAAGTACTATCAGAGTGTAGAAAGTAAGCAGATTACATATGCTTGGGAGAAAGATGAAAGAAGGCTTCACTGAGCACAGAGTTACTGCTTTAACTGAGACCTGCAGAAACTGAGCAGGTGAAGGATAGGTAGAGAGCCTGGGAAGCAACCAATACAATGTGTGCAAAGGTAGAGAAGTGAGAGGGAGTAATGTGGATGTGAGTTCTACAAACAGGTCAGTTTGGCTGATGGAGATCATGTAATATGAGAAGGGACAAGACAGGAAGCTGGACAGGAGAGCAGGGTCACATATGAAGAGCCTTGCATACTACGCTAGAGTCAGGTCTTTATTCTTCCAGCTTTAAGGAAATGGTGAAGAATTTTAACCCCAAAGTGGACTATGGATATACGTTTTATTTTATGTTTAAGTTTATTTATTTATTTTGAGAGACAGAGAGTGAGCAGGTCAGAGGCAGAGAGAGAAGGAGACAGAGAGAATCCCAAACAGGCTCCACACTGTCAGCACAGAGCCCCAGGCAGGGCTCAAACTCACAAACTGTGAGATCACGACCGGAGCCAAAGTCCAACGTTCAACCTGACTCAGCCACCTGGATATGTGTTTTATAATAAAATCACTTTGACGACACCAGGGGGGAAGAGACTGGTGAAAACTGAGACTTTGTATTCATGGCACAGATAGGAAGGAGAAAGGGAGGTAGGTCTGGTCTGAATAGCAGTTTAAGAAAAACACCAAAATTCCCAGTTTAATTTTTATAGAAATTAAGTTTGCGAAGCAGCAGCAAAGACTAATATTAATACATCACATTCTGAATGTTAGGGCATATTGTCTTTTTTTATCCAATAAGGTCAAAGGCTAAAAAAACATCTAAAGATGACATTAGGGCTCAGAGCCTGGAGACTGCTTCCAATTCTGGGTTTCCCTCTCTCTCTGCCCCTCCCCCACTCATGCTCGCTCGCGCTCTCTCTCTCTCTCTTTCTGTCAAAAATAAATAAACATTAAAGATGACATTACGGGAGCCGCTGGGTGGCTCAGTCTGTTGAGCATCCAACTTCAGCTCAGGTTATGATCTCAGAGTTGGTGGGTTCGAGTCCCACGTTGGGCTCTGTGCTGACAGCTCCGAGCCTGGAGACTGCTTCAGATTCTGTGTCTCCCTCTCTCTCTGCCCTTCCCCTGCTCACACTCTGTCAATCTCTCAAAATGAAATAAACATTAAAAAAAAAAAGACATTATGGTCCATGTTGACAGAGAAGACTGTCAGATTATAGGCTTAGACTTTGGACAAATCCTAACTTCTCTGAGCTTCAGTTTCTTCAACCTATATGATGCAGGGTTCAGGGGTTCTTAACCATAATTGGTTTCTTTTGTAATGTTACTCATTTTATTTATATATATTTCTTAATTTTTTGTGGGGGCACCTGGGTGGCTTAGTCAGTTGAGCGGCCAACGACTTTGGCTCAGGTCATGATCTTGTGGTTCCTGAGCTGGAGCCCAGCATTGGGCTCTGAGCTAACAGCTCAGAGCCTGGAGCCTGACTGGGATTCTGTGTCTGTCTGTCTGTCTGTCTGTCTCTCTCTCTGCCCCTCCCCCGCTTATGCTCTCTCTCAAAAATAAATATTTTAAAAATATTTAAGAACTTGGTAAGGCATGAGCTATAAAACATATCAGAGAAAACATGAATTATATAATTACTCTTTGAAGGTACTCCTACTACATACTTTATTTTAATCAGATTGAACTATCAAAATGGTTCTGATTAATCAATGAAACGATCACTGCATCATCTGTTCAGTGTTCAAAAGGATATTCTGCATTGGTTTGAAAAACCACTGAAAGATTACCATAAGGTAATTTGTAAATCCTTTTAAAGTACATCTACTTAGCTTTAAAAGCTCTGTTATTTTAGATCTGAATCTACAATGAGGTAGTCGAAACCCTATTCAACGAAACAACAATGGAAGACTTGAATGTGCAAAAACAAAACTAATCGATTTTATAGTGTCTATATTAAAACTGTAAGGGTTTCATTTCTTAGCAACATTCTAAAGGGATGTTCTTTCAGGAGACTTATCAACCTAACAGATCTGTATGGGAGGGCAGGTTCCTGTCTCTACAGGTAACTCTCTTCCCACACTTCCCTAGCAATCTGCATATCTCTAAACCAGGGGCAGGTAACTAAGGCACCTAAGGCAATCTTAAGTGTCACTTGCCTCTCCCCAGACTTGTGGTTTCTTTTAACTGGTATCTTACAAAGAATACTTAAGTGTTCGGCTGGAAAAAAAAAAAAAAAAGGTCACTTTTCAGCAAAACACTATCTACAGCCCCCAAATCTTCCAGCAACTGATTTACCACAGAAAAACTGTGCCAAGTGAACATTAACAACTACTTACGACAAGGTATGTATGTAGTTCAGGCACTTTTAGTCCAGGCAATATAGATAATATGTTCAATTAATTAGGAAAAACTCAGAATTCACATTTCTAGAGGAACTACCATAAGTGACTCAGGAAAGCAAAATATTTGCCAGGTGCAAGGTACTTCAAAATCATAACTACATTTCATGTAAAAGAAACCCTATCTTAAGCAAATCCACTATCAAAGGCCACAAATCTACACAAAATTTAAGTTAGCAGGAGGAATTAATTTTCAAAAGGATGCATTCAAAATATGACTTGTGCACAATTTGAAGAAATCCCTTACGGTGTTTAAAAAAAAAAAAAAAAGTCAACATTTATAGTTTATTCCAGAGCAGAGCGTAAACTATTTCTCTATAAATATATGAAGAAATACTCACCTCCATTTTCACAGCAGCTGTACTCTGGTCATAATGACCCATTAAATTAGGGAAAAATGTCATGTTGTAGGCCATTTTCATACATCTGGGAACAGTAATTGGTTCACAGGTGAAAAGACTGTGTCCTCGTATGAAGGGTAGAAAAATACACGTCCACAAAAATGGAAACATTTCCATTTTCTTCAAATTCCTGGTTTTACCACATGGCTCGGATTAATCTTTCTTTTCATTCTCTGATTTCCATCCGAAAATAAAATGTTCAAATTCCTCTTTCGTTATTTTACCATTTTGAAGGAAGTTCTTTTCCTGAAAATGAGTTCTGGGTCAATTACTGTAAAAACAACCGAGGGAGTGTATCTGCAACATTTGTCATAAACTCAAATAGGGACATTAAAGTGCAGAGTTAAGATTTTGACCCTGGATAACTAACACTGGAAAAATGACGGAAAATTCGGTCCTTTGGAGACACCTTCCACCTGCTTTGGCACAGAATATGTAATTTGTTGAGCAAGTCTCATCTCTAGGGAACTGATGATAGAACATTTACGCTGTCTAGAACACCGCAAAGGAGGGAGAGATGGAGGAAAAAAGTCGGTTGGGAATAAGTTGGGTTAAACGACATAAAAATCGTGAAATCTAAGGCCCCTGTTGGGATATTTATCTTACTCCCATTTGGTGAAAATTCTGTCCAGGGTAATTTTTAAGATTCATTTAGTTCTTTTAAACTTCTTTTATGACCAAAGAGCCAGTTTTATGTCTCTGGGGAATTGCTTTTCTGGTTTTTTCTCAAAAGGCCAATCCAGGGGGGAGATGCTCAGGGACACCTCCTGGAGCATTTTTTAAATTGCTCTCGGGCAGGGCTATGAGCGAAAGGGAAAAGTGGTTGCCGTCGGAGGGGGGCCACGGAGTGCCTGGGCCCTGAATCGCGAATGCTAACGCTCACCAACACCTCGTCCGCCCTTCCCCTGGTGCCAGGCTTCCAGAAGCGCCGGGCAGACTAACTGCCCCACACTGCACTCCCTCAGGCCCAGAGCCGGCAGCAGTGTCTCTGGGGTCTCTCAGGGGACCCGGCGGCGCCCTTCAGGAACTGGCCCCAACTGTGTGTGGGAGAAATCCTGGCCCGAGCGGCTCTGTCTGCCGCCGCCTGCCCGCACCTGTGGCTCCCCGTGCCCGCCGCGGGTGCGCATCCCCGAGGGGCCCGCTCACCTCCTCGGGACCACTCGGTCTCGGCTCAACTGGGGCTTTGGCCCGAGGAACCCCAGCTCTTTGCCGAGGTTGAGTCTCCCCCTCCAGTCCTCGTCCAGCCACTGTCCAGCAGACCGCGACCTGAGACGGCTCCGAAAGCGTCCGGAACTCCAGCTGCCTCCTGAGCGGCACCGGGCATGAGAGAGCTGAGCGAGATCCCGCGAGATCGCGCGGTCAGGTCGGGCGGGCAGGTCTGGCTCACAGGTGGTGGTGGCGGCGGCGGTGGCGGCGGTGGCTGTGTGACCTGGCTCCTCCGCTCCCAGGACTTTGCCTGCTCCCAGGGTTCGGAGGTTCTTAGTGACTGGAAATGGCTGTGGCTACAGTGTAATGGTAAAGTTCCTCCAAGCCCCCTGTTCCGGTACCAGCACACGACTATTCGGGTCCAGAGGTTCAGCTTCAGAAGGGTTTTCTGGGTTTTGGTGATCCCCTTAAATAAAGCTTCTTGAGAGAACCCACTGCATGGAGAGTTTTATCACACAAGATTTCTCAAAGGCTGATGCTCTGTAAAGGAAGTGAAAGATGTGAACAGATCTGAGTAAGAAACCAGAGTGGCACACGATGTGTGCTCTGTAAGGTCAATTGTCCAAGGGACCTTGGAAAGTGGGTAACTTCCTGGATAACTGTCAAAAAAAAAAAAGTATTCATTCTGAGGTACAGGTGGCAATGGGATTTCAGCTCTTTGAGAGTAGGTATAGTTTTACTGATCTAAAAAACCCAGAACGTTGAAATCATTCTTTAAAAGTCGCAATCCAGGGGTACCTGTACCAGTCGTTGAGCGCGTCGACTTCCTCGCCAGGTCATGATCTCGCACGGTTCAGGGTTCAAGCCCCCTGGCTGGCCGGGCTCTGTAGCTGACAGCTCAGAGCCTGAGCCTGTTTCAGTGATTCTTGTACCTCCCCTCTCTCTGCTCCCTCCCCCCTGCCTGCTCATGCCTTGTCTCTTCTCTGTCTCAAAAATAAATAAATGTTAAAAATTAAAAAAAAAAAAAGTCAGCCTAGTTTTTAGTACCAACTATGCCACACTCTCATGTGCTTCACCTCTTCATCTCTCCCTTCTTCCGAAGACCTAACAAGCTGGGTTTTTGGTTGTTTTTGTTTGTTTGTTTGTTTTTACCATCTCCATAGTTGTGTCTTTTCTAGAGTGGCATGTAGTTGGAATTGTACAATACGTAGCCTTTTCAAATTGGCCTCTTTCACTTAGTAAGATTCTTCAACTCTTCTCACGGCTTGATAGCTCATTTCTTACTAGTGCTGAGTAAATTTGCCATTGTCTGGACGTACCACGATTCACCTACTGGAAGGAGGTCTTGGTGGATTCCAAGTTTTGGCAATTGTGAATAAAGATGCTATAAACCCCAGTTGTATTCAGGTTTTTGTGTCAATGTTAAGTTTTTAACTCTTGTGGGAAAATACCAAGGAGCCCAACTGCTGAATCATAAGGTAAGAGTATGTTGAGTTTTATAAGAAACTGTCAAACTGTCTTCCAGAGTGTCTATTCCATCTTGCATCACCCCTAGCGAAGTTTGACAGTTCCTGTTGCTCCATATCCTCCACAGCATTTGGTGTTGTCAGTGTTCCAGATCTTGGCCATTCTAATAGGATCAGAGTGGTATCTCATTGTTGTCTCGATCTGCACTTCCCTGATGACATATGATGTGAACATCTCTTCATGCACTTGTTTGTCGTCTGTGTATCTTCTTTGATGAGGTTTCTGTTCAGGTCTTTGTCCTGTTTTTTTTTAATTGAGTTGTCTGTTTTCTTATGGTTGGCTTTTAAGAGTCCTTTGTATATTTTGGATAACAATCCTTCATCAGATACATCTTCTGCAAATATTTTCTCCCAGTCTGTGGCTTATCTTCTAATTCTGTAGACACCACCTTTTGCAGAGCAGAAGGTTTTGATTTTAATGAAGTCCAGCTTATCAATTATTTCTTTCATGGATCGTGCCTGTGGTGTACAGAAAAAGTCATCACCAAACCCAAGGGCTTCCAGATTTTCTCCTATGTTATCTTCTAGGAGCGTTATAGCTTTGTGTTTTACGTTTAGGTCTATATCCATTTGGAATTAATTTTTGTGAAGATTTTGTGTAAGATTTGTGACCAGATTCATTGTTTCCCAGGTGGATGTCCAGTTGCCCCCGCACTGTTCATTGAAAAGGTGATCTTTGACTCTTAAAAACTGAGAACAAACCGGGGTTGATGGGGGGGGTGGTAGGGAGGGGAGGGTGGGTGATGGGTATTGAGGAGGGCACCTTTTGGGATGAGCACTGGGTGTTGTATGGAAACCAATCTGACCATAACCTTCATATACTGAAAAAAAAAAAAAAAGAAAGAAAGAAAAGGTGATCTTTGCGGGCACCTGGGTGGCTCAGCTGGTTAAGCATCCAACTTTTGGTTTTGGTTCAGGTCATGATCTCACAGTTCATAAGATTGAGCCCTGCATCAGGCTTCACGCTGACAGCTTGGAGCCTGCTTGTGATTGTCTCTCCCCATCTCTCTCTGCCCCCTCCCCTGCTCATGCTCTCTTTCTCTGTCTCTCAAAATAAATAAATAAAACATAAAAAAATAAAAGATGATCTTTGCTCCAGGTGTTGTCTTTGCTCCTTTGTCAAAAATGAGTTGCTATTTCTGGACTCTCTATTTCTGTTCATAACGAACAAAGCTGGACCAGGAGGGTAACAGAATGTCTAGAGGAGAAAGGCTGTGGGCCCTGAATCACATATAACTGTACCCTCCAACACACACACACACACACACACACACACACACACACACTCTATCCAGGCTTCCAGCACTGGGCAGGGTAACTCACCCCATACCCCAGCACCTGTCCTTGTGTTGAGCATGTCTATTGGTACCATTCTTCCAACAGCATTTGCTCACTTCATGTCTCTGTCATATTTCGGTAATTCTTGAACTCTTTCAAAGTTTTTCATTATTGTGGGGCGCCTGGGTGGCGCAGTCGGTTAAGCGTCCGACTTCAGCCGGGTCACGATCTCGCAGTCCGTGAGTTCGAGCCCCGCGTCAGGCTCTGGGCTGATGGCTCAGAGCCTGGAGCCTGTTTCCGATTCTGTGTCTCCCTCTCTCTCTGCCCCTCCCCCGTTCATGCTCTGTCTCTCTCTGTCCCAAAAATAAATAAACGTTGAAAAAAAAAAAATTTAAAAAATAAAAAAAAAAGTTTTTCATTATTATTATAATATTTGTTACAGTGAAATGTGATCAGTGATTATGATTCACTGAAAGTTCAGACCATGGTTAGCATTTTTTAGCAGTATTTTTTAATCAGGGTATGTACATTGTTTCCTCAGACCATGCTATTGCACACTTACTAGACTACAGCATAGTATAAACATGACTTTTATATTCACGAGGAAGCCAAAAAAATTGATTTGACTTGCATTAGTGCAACGTATGCCTGATTGCAGTGGTCTGAAACCAAACCCATAATATCTCTGAGGTATGCTGGCATCTGCTTACATTACCAATCTGGTTTTGCATGCTATCTACTTATTCCTTTAGAGCCCTTAGCATATTAATCACACTTATTTTAAATTCCTAGTCTGACAATTCCATCATTTCTGTATATCTGAGTCTGGTTCTGGGGCTTGCTGTTTCTTCGGACTAAGTTTTTTTTTGCATTATAGTATGCCCTGTAACTTTTTGTGGAAAGCCAGACATGATGTACTAGAAAAAAGGAACTGCAGTAAATAAGGCTTTAGTGATGTGCTATAAGGTAGAGGTGAAGTGGGGAAGCATTGTATAGACCTATGATCACGTCTCAGTCTTTTTTTTTTTTTTTTCAACGTTTATTTATTTTTGGGACAGAGAGAGACAGAGCATGAACGGGGGAGGGGCAGAGAGAGAGGGAGACACAGAATCGGAAACAGGCTCCAGGCTCTGAGCCATCAGCCCAGAGCCCGACGCGGGGCTCGAA